GAAGAAGGGGGCCCCCTCTTTGTCGGTCCCCCCCCCCCCCCCGTCTCGTAGAAATAGTTCAGCATTTACTCTCCTGCCTGGCCCACCTGCTCCGGGGCTGGAATGTTTCTCATTCTTGCACTCTTCCCTGTCCAAAAGCACGTACCTTCCTGGGGAGGAGGGCAAGGGTCAAGGGCTGGGGATCCAGACAGGTAGCCTGGGATGAGAAACGTTCTCCAGACCTGCTGCATTTCCCCGGCTACCTGTGCTGCCCCCAGAGTGACTGGAACAGGTTCCTGTAGACAGATCAGGATGGCTAGCCGTATGAGTCCATGCTGTAGTAGTAGAAAAGAGCAAGAGTCCAGCAGCACCTGAAAGACTTAACAAAATTTGTGGCAGGGGGGGGAGCTTTCATGAGTCACTGCTCACTTAGAATCATAGAATGTTAGAGTGGGAAGGGACCTTGCAGGTCATCTAGCCCCACCCCCTGCACTCTGCAGGAGCACAGCCGAAAGATAGCCCTACAACATACCCAAAAGATGGCCGTCCAGCCTCCGCTTGAAAATTTCCAGCGAAGGAGCCTCCACCACCTCCCGAGGCAGACTGTTCCACTGCTCAACCACTCTTACAGTCAGGAAGTTTCTCCTGATATTGAGCCGGTATCGACTCCCTGGTAATGTCCACCTATTAGATCTACTCTTGCAATCCGGAGCAGAAGAGAATAGATCCGCTCCATCTTCTACATGACAGCCCTTCAAATACTTGAAGACTGCAATCCTGTCCCCTCTAAGCCTTCTCTTTCCCAGGCTAAACAGACCCAGCTCTTTCAGCCTTTCCTCGTAAGACTGGGACTCCAACCCTCTTCAGACAATGGTTGCTGCAGGTGTGCATCACTGCCACAGTGCCTAGTCTGGGTGAGGGTGGTCAGGCTCCTCCAAGCTGCAGCCCAGTGCCAACACTCCCCTCTTCTTGCCCCTGAAATGTCACCTGCAGATGCTCCCCCCACCCCCCAGCAGTTCCCAGCCTGCTCTGAAAAAAGTCACAAGAGAGCATTGCAGGGGTTCTAGTCAATATCTGGAAATGTTTATTCAGTGGTGCAGAACAACATGACCAGGGGAACTGAGTAGGCCCTACACAATGACGATCAAGGGATCCTGCCTCATCCAGTCTTAAGGGGCCACAGCCTGCAGCAGCCCTGGAACAGGGCACAACCGGTGTGGGGGGGGGGAGAAGTTCTCTAGTGTCTGGGGTAGGCCTGGGAGTACCATGCATTGCTCAGGGCTAGGGCAAGCCAGAAAGGAATGGTTCCACCCAGGTGCAAGTGAAACCCAGCTGTCATTTGAAGGTAAATTTGCCTGGCCGGCACTGGTGGCATCTTGAGCAGAAAGAGACCCAACCACGCTTGTTTTCTGGAAATCAAGAGGGTCCTAGGGAGGGTCAGGCAGGTGGGTGCTGCTGCAGGGCCCTCCTGGGGGCGCCACCTCACAATTTCCCTTCCACAGTGAGGGTCTTGAGGTCGGCAGGCGAGCTAGCAGTCAGCACCGCGTGGGAGACACGCCTCTTCTCCACCAGGGAGGCCACAGCCTCGCCCACTTCCAGATGGTTCACATAGCCCGGGCCCAGGTGCTCTGGGGTTGTCACCCCCATGTTAATCTTTACCTGCAGAGGCACACAAAGGATGGTGGTTTTCAGTGGGCCGGAGAGACTCAGAGCTGCACACACACACCCCTTCTCATAGCTGCATCTCACTGGGAGCAACTGCCGTGTATTAAAGCAGCTGGTTCCTTGAAGCCAGAAACACCTTCAGTCCGGCTGGGGGCCTGGAATGGTGTTTGCCCCCCCCCCCCCAGCAAACTGTCCTCATTGGGAGCAGCTGTAGCTCAGTGGAAGAGTCCCTGGTTCAATCTCCGGCAGAGCCCCGAAGTTAAAAAGGACCAGGCAGTGGGTGATGTGAAAGACCTTTCTCTGCCTGAGACCCGGGAGAGCGGCTGCCAGCCTGAGTAGACAAGACTGACCTTAATGGATCCAGGTTCTCGATTCAGTATAAGGCAGCTTCATGTGAATGCACAGTTAGGGTGTGTGTGGAGGGAGGAGAATTTAAGAGCACCAAGAAAGCAAGTTTGGCACGCCTTGAGCTCCCTGGGAGCAGCGGCCCTTTGGCCTTTTTAGAGGGACAAAGACACCTGAAGCATCCTGCAAATACTCAAAAGAACGGGGAGGGAAACCTGCCCAACCCTCCAGGGCCTCAAGGCCCAGCACTGACCTCGTTCAGTTTGCAGGGAATCTCTGGGTACTCCTCACGCAGCACCCGGCAGAAGGCCAGTGCCCCTGCTGCCCCCAGGGTCAGGAAACCAGTGCCTGGCAGCAGGAGACGCTCGCCGGCCCCCCCTGGAAGGGAGATGCCCCACTGTTAGTCTTTGGAAAGGGTGTGTCGTGACAGCCTAGTGGGAGACGTATCCCCTCCCCTTTGTCACTTTAGAGGAAGGGGCACTTCTCTGCTCATGTGCCCAGGCCTGCAGTGACTGAACACCCCAGTTCCGTTCCTGCACGTAGAAAGCAATGAGTGCCTCCTGCCTCCAGTGGAAAGTGGCACACACGAGCGGCTGCAAGCCTCCTCCACTACTGGGCAAGAGAGTCCCTCTCACCTGTGATGAGGGTGTAGGAGCCACTGGGGTCGTCCCGGACCAAGGGGAAGAAAGCCTTCCAGGAAGTGAAGGTGCTGAGAAGCAGCGTGTCCAAGACCTGCAAGCAAGGCATGGGGAGTGATGATTCTCCAGGCTGAAGCAAAGGACAGACCGCTTCTCCAGCAAAATCACGAGAGGAAATGTCAGCCCTGCAAACGGACAGCCCCTTTCCCTCCCCCAGCTTTGCAGGACAAAATGCAACACAGAGAGAGATCCGATGCTCAGCCCTAACCACTGCCGTCCCCCCCCCCAGCAGCAGCACCAGCAGCAGCTCCCCTTCCGTGCCCCCCCCCACTCACCCGCTGCAGCTCCTCCCGTGACTGGGTGTGAGGGGGCCCCTCTTGCCACCAGCTGAAGCCCAGGCAGGACACCACATCTGTCACCTTCCCCAGGGTCTTCAGCACGGCCTCCCGGGCTGCTTCGGCTCCCTCTTCGGAACCTGGAGGGGGTGCAAGGGGAAGCATTCCTCTCCATCACCGGGAACAGCCACAGAGGAGGAGGAAGGGCAGAGATTTGGGCAGAAATGGGACTGGCTGCATCCCTGCCCATTTCCTCCGTCAACAACTTCCCCCCTCCCTACCCTGGACCTGTACACCCACGGGTGCCTGCGTCTGATCTGGGGACACACTCCCCACACCAGCCCATCTGCTAAGAGGGGCTCTAGTCACAAGGAAGCTCCTCCCCCCACGAATCCACGTTCCACAAAGGAGCCCCAGACTGGTGTTCAGCAAGGCGTGAAGCCTGCTAAAGTGGAGGGCGTGACCCGAAACTCGCTCTGTTTAGGAGGCCGTTCATCTGACTGAACTGAATTCAAGAGAATTAAAGGATTTCTCCCAGTTCAACAGCTGTTTTGAATTCACACTTCTCTTCGTGGTATTGTACTTGGGACACCTAAACTACCAATGCTCCCTCCAAGCTGTGGACTCTTGTGAGCAAAAATTCTACTTTGTGAGCTACTGGCATTAAAGTTGTGAGCAAGCGATTCGGCTGCTGCGTAAATTCGTTTGCTCTCTGGAGCCCTCCTTCCTGAGCGGAGGCAACAATGTGTGAGCTGGAGGCTAAAAAACTGTGAGCTAGCTCACACTGACTCAGCTTAGAGGGAACACTGGATGCGACTGAAATGGGGGGGAGTGGCCAGTTAATACTTTGTACTTTACAAAAACGGGGCATAACTTTCTTAACAATATCTCCTGGATTTGAAATGAAACTGCCTAGAAATCCCAATTGGGAAGTGTCCTCCAATTTCATGCTTACCTGCCCGATGCCCTTTGGGCGGCCACCTTCAAACCACAACACGGAGAGGGGGAAGCAGGCATGGGTGGGCTGGCCAACCGGCTGGCTGACTGCCCTGCTGGTGCCCAGCCCCCCCATGCCTGCCCCCCCCAGACTTCCTCGTGAGCCGGGAGGGGGAGGGCTCTCTTCACCACAGACAAAGCTGCCTTCCCCAGCACCGCCCACCTAGCTGCAACCAAGCAAGCCCTTACCCACATCCCCAACGAGGGTGTGCAAGCGGCCCTGGAGCGACGCTGGCAAAAAATGTTTCAGTTTCTCCAACCTGCTTCCATCCCGGGAGATGACGGCAACCTGGAAACCTGTACAGACGGCAGAGCATCAAGACCGGGGGGGGGGGGGGGGCGCGGGCACACATTAATCCCCACTTCTCACTGACTGCTGCCACTCCTTAACTGGGACTTGACTTTGGGGGTGGTTTAGAAAGGTAGGGCCCAGCCCCAGACCAGAGTACCTCTAGGCATGTGCCCCGATGCTAGCCACTCCATACCAAAACACACACACACACGCGCGCGCGCAATATCATCTGAGGACAGAGGCTCAAAGCTTCCAAGGCAGCCTTGAGCTCCAGCACCTCTTGGTAGAACTGGACCACCAGCTGCGGGATCCTACCACCACAGAATGACACGTTCGTATACCCTTTGCGCACGCATCCACACATATAGGGCAACTGCGCACCGACCCAGGCTCTGTCTGGAGAGCAGCATTTTGACAAAACGGCCCTTACCTTTCTCCAGCAGCGACTTGACGATCCCAGAGCCCACTGTCCCGGCTCCCCCGAGCACCACCGCCACCCGCTCCGATACTGACATCCTGGCACACGGAGGGAGATCAATCCCCCGTTTGGAAGAAGGTCACTGTGGGAGAAGTGGGGCAGCAGATCCCACACACAGGCAGGCAGCGAAAGCCTCCAAGAGCTCCGCCTCCACGGCACACCCACTGCCCCCCCTCCCCAGTTCTGCTGGGCAGATGGAGGCTGTGTGGGTCCCCTGGACAGAGAGTGGCAGACACAAAGGCAGCGGGGCAGGCCGCTCCTTCCTCTGCTGTCAGCTCTGCTTCTCTGGGTGAAATGAAATGACCGCAGGGCTTGTCGCGGGTTGCACAACATCAAAACTGCTCCAAAGCAGCTTCCCTGTTGAGAGACGTAACAGGATTCTAGTAAAGGTTTCCCTTGCTTGAAAGCCATTTGAATCTGACTCCAGGGTGTGGTGCTCGTCTCCGTTTCCCATCCGAAGAGCCAGCGCTGTCCGAAGACGTTTCCGTGGTCATGTGGCTGGCATGACTCAACACCAAGGTGCACGGAACGCTGTTACCTTCCCACCGAAGCAGTACCTATTTATCTACTTGCAGTTTCTTGCTTTCGAACTGCTAGGTTGGCAGGCTCCTCTGGGCGGTCCCTGCAGGGAGGTTTGTTGGGTATTACAAGTTGAAAACACTCAGTATATCTGGGGTTAAATGTTTATGTTACTCACAGGAAGTCACAGGTTTCTCATGTAACCAATGTTCTTTAGATGTGGATTGCCCGGGAATTTTCTCCCTGATCCAGGAATTTGATTGGGACTAAAGTGTCAAGGTGTATTACCATTTTATGGCTCCTCTTCCCGTCTTTGTTTGGTGTTCTGAAGAAGAAGAAGAGCAGCCATACTCTCCCTCTTCTAGTTTTGTCTTTGTAGTGTAAGGATGTAGGGAACTTAGCTCTGTTGTTATTTTCATCCCAGTTACCCTTCCCCATGCTAGAATTTAGTAAAAACGTTATATTTTAATCACACATGGAGTCTCAGTCTGAATTATTTTACTCTTATCTCTGCTAAATACCATTTTTTCAATATCTCACTATCACCAAAGAAGGTTCCACCCGCCGGGCAGACGGCTCCTTCAGCCTTAGCTGCAGCAGACATTGCTAGGGAGGCCCGCGAGGCAAGGCCACGAGACGCAGCCCTTTCCGCAAGGCGGCAACAGCAGAGGCCTCGCGCTCTCTCCCG